CAAACATCCAGCTGCACAAACAATCACACTCGCAGTCATTATTAAACTGGGGCAGATCCCAACAGACTAAAACTCCAGTCTCACCTCTAATCCTGACTCATTTTGTAAATTAAACCTAAACATAGCATTTTGATTGCTTGCAAGCAGTACACATAAGCTTAAGTATCTCCTGCCAACATCAACTTGATGGATTACTACGTTTTTGTTAGACCTCTATGGTTCCAAGATGATGAATTGTAATAATATTAGTTTTTAGTGAAATGTTTCAACAGTTAGAAAATATTTAGATAAAATGCAGTTGAAATTTAGTACAAAAATTCATGTTCCCCCTTGAGGAACAATAGTAACTTACAATAAGTGATTGACAAATCTTTCCACTGGCACAACCAGCAGATGAAAATTCAGACTTGTGTAATAGTTTAGTTTGACTGAATACTGTAACTACAACTGATGATATACCCATCTTTACTTTGTGTTAAGTGCACATTGAACTGGAGGAGAAGGATTTTATATAGTTCGCAGCATCTGTGGATGAAAGATACTGTAACAATCACTTAGTTTATAGATAAATATGCATTTATATCTTGCATAAATCATCATAAATTCTTCCCATTAGATTACTGGAGGTGCTGGTTTCGTGGGTTCCCATTTGACTGACAAGCTGATGATGGATGGCCATGAAGTGACTGTGGTCGACAACTTCTTCACAGGGAGAAAAAGGAACGTAGAGCACTGGATTGGCCATGAAAACTTTGAGCTCATCAATCATGATGTGGTGGAGCCTCTCTATATCGAAGGTGAGAGAGAGTAAAAGTAATGAGATGTTATTTTTACTTACTGTCGAGGATCAAAGCAGGACTAGCTTTGCCAGAAGTAACTAAAATGTTCAGGTTATAGGAAAGCCAGGGAATCATTTAAGTTATACTATTTCTACTATAATAACTAGAGAATTTGCCTTTGGTAAAATGATGAGGTGCTCATGTTACCCATGTATCTATAAATATGGACCTGAATATCTCACTTCAGAAATTCAAATAAGTAGTGATGCACCGAAATGAAAATTCTGGGCCGAAACCGAAACCGAAAATTTAGGATGCATTTGGCCGAAAACCGAAACGAAACCGAAAATGGCTTCTTTTAAAAACTTCAAATTTTTAAAACACGCTTACTCTATAATTGTGTGTGTATATATGTGTGTGTGTGTGACATTTTAAATTGCTGTGCAAAACGGTGCAAAAACAGCAATAGAACTTCCAAACAAACTGTAAACAACATAGCCTAGGTAGCTAGCAGTGCTACATAAATTTTAATGCAACTATGCAAAATTGGACTGTTGTTTAGTTCAACAAACGTGGCAGGTTTTTCTTTAGGAACAAAAGTTGCTCCGCTTTTTGGCTGGAGAGACAGTTCCTCTTCTCATTAAGCACATGAGATGCTGCACTGAAGAGTCCTCACCGCTGACATGCTTTGTCGTTCATGGGGAGACGCGTGATATAACAGCTCCAGCGTGAGTGAAACCTAACCTGTGCTGCGCCAGGATATGATGGGCGGGGCAGGGCAGGGCATTTTCGGCGAGTTTTTTTTTATTCCGGCCCGAAATAAAAATGGCCTTTTCGGCCGAAATTTTTCGGTGGCCGAAATTTCGGTGCACCCCTACAAATAAGCAATGAAATGTCTTGGAAGCAAACACAGAAGTGGACTGAGACTTTGGCTTTCCAAAAAAATATTATAAATCATAATTTGAATTTTAAAAATTCGATTTATAGTAATGACTAAAACACATGAGATTTGTTTAAAATAGCTTAAAGTGCTTTGGCGCTTCAGGGAAATTATATTAAAAGTATGTTTTTCTACTTCTTGGTGGACTGGATATGTCATACAGGTTGTTGCAGCCTTGTTGCCATGGCGCTGTAGAGCAGACAGCAGCAGATCACAAGCTGATGCACTGTATGAAACCCCAGAGGGGCTGTGAGAATACCAAGAAAGTTAAATATAGAAATGGACATACATGTAGGTTTGCCTTGCTTTCCCTTCCGCTGTTATCTTCACTGACCTATTTGTCCAGTATGGTCATCCCACAGTTTATTTTCACAGTGGGTGACTGAGTACCCATGGACCAGGCACTAGGGGTAATCTGGGTCTCCAAAGGGTTTTTGACAGATGTCTAGTGGGTATACAATGCCTGATCTTTTGTTTATTTGCTGTGGTATATCAGCTTTGAAAAGGGGTCTGTTGAGCTCTGTTAGACTCAGAGACTGCAGGTGGAGGCAGGCTTTATGAAATGCTGTTTGAACAGCAGTTGCAGCAAGTGATGACAGCAGAGTTTAACGTGCAGGAAGAGGTATAGCAGAGCAAACGAGCGAGCTGGGTACTGACGGCTCAGATAACACCAGCCAACGTTAAAAGGTGCATGAAAATCTGTGACAGTTGTATAGCATTGTATCTTTGGGTGAATAGCACTGCATTTGAGCTGCCTCATAGGCTTCACTGTTTATGCCAGGAAGACACCGGATTGCTCTATTATAATAATACAATGCATGGTCAGTGCTAATGATGCACTGTTTTTATACAGTAGATTCTTCTCTCTTTGATGTGTCCAATTTACATAATTAGTGATATGAAATTGTGTTTTCTACAGTATAGTCCGGCATGCCAGCTGTGTATCAAGTCACACAGACTAAGTGGAACACAATAGCATTAAATTGTAAATATGCACAAGGTTATACTGGCACCAAAAGATGAGCTATAGAAATCCATCACCCCAGTTTACAGTTTCATGTGTTAAGGAAGAATTAAGACAGGAGTCTCCATGAAACCTCTTTATGAAAATGACTTGTCATCCCATGGTGCCCCATGATTATATCCTTGCATTTACAAAAGAAGATGCTCTTCAAAAAACACCAAATATCTGGAGATTTACTGCTGA